TAACCTGTTATTATATGGTAACCAACGCGTGTCGTTTTGAAAACAGCGTTTTACCCGCATCTTGCAAGATAATGGAATGATTCCAATTGTGGGCGTGCCAATACAACGGCGCCATCAAGTCTAGATTGGAAAAGACCCAAGTGTTTTGCAAAGTTCCAACATATATTGCTAACTGACTGTCCAAATAATTCTCAGAACGGCTGTAAGTGTAGAACTAAGCAACTAAGTACTTTGTAAAGTTTCGAGTCATCTTGCGAATTGATTGTCCGAATAATTCTCATAACCGATGTAATACCAGTGAGTAGTACTGATCAAATTATTTTAATTTTTATTCCAACAATTGACCATGGTATTAACCTTTTCACCACCAGTTCCCTCTTTTCATCACAAATTCACAAAATAGTCCAGTTTATAGTCTGCACTTTCCTTCAGATGATTGGGACAAAAATAGCTAAATTTTTTGAGTAAAAACCAAAAATAAACTCAAATTTTATCTGTTGGCTTCAAAATTAGAGTTCATTTCTAAAAATATTAAAGAATATAAGAAAAAATGCAGAAAAAAATTGGGCGACTAAGTCTTGTGGTGAAAACGTTAAATTGCTGTTTGTATTCTCTTCTATATAGGTAACAATACTTCCAGTATGGATCCTAACTCTATTATGAAATCAGTTGTGTTGTCAGCTAAGCAGTATAGCAACAACAGTAACGATAATAATTTAATAAATTTACAGATGCAGTTAGAGGTGAGTAAAGTAAAATTCATATTATCGGCCATTATTAAGAAATAATTTCACCATAAAAACATTGCAACACTGCAAATTGAAATATTTACAAATATTTATTACTGATTTTTCAAATTTTTGTTTTTTGAAAAACTGTCCTGTGATTACAATTTTTTTTTTGTATCACAAATAATGGTATTAACCTATAATAACGAAAGCATTAATTATTAAGTAACTTGTAATCTTCAATTTCGGTTAAACTGTATCTAAATTCAAATTTTTCACCTCCTGAGAAAGTTATATGACAATGCATTATGGGAACGAAATCTTCTTTTAATATACACAGTGAAAAAGTGTTATCTATTATACATGTCAAGTATTTTTTTTGCCTTACTTGCAAAACTGAATAAACAATAAGTTTTCACATCAAACTAAATAATTTTTGTTCAACTTGTTTTGGAGAAAAGTTACCATGTGCTGCCATAGAGAACATCCAGACAACAACATCATCCTTAGTTTAGTGTAGAGCAACATGTAACGCTCATGCCTTTCTTGATTATTTCACAGTTCTCCACATTTGGGTATGGCGTAAGGACAGGATGGCATTAGCAAATTATCCACTTACTTTGAATTATGGCATTTGTGAGGGTAAAAGTTTCGCCAATAACATTGAACCGTACATTTGGACTCCAGTGAAATTTGCACCGCTACAATAAATCAACCTTTGCACTGACTCACAAAATTAAGGAAATATTGTATCTTGTGAAATTAAATAGAAACCAATACAAAAACAAAAATATTATGAAAATGTTTTTTGCTAGATTTCATTCTCCAAAAATTTTTCAGTGACCCCATTTTTAGCTCCGCTGTCGACTTTGTCGAGCGGAGCTTATCATATGAGTGATTGTCCGTCGTCGTCCGTGTCAATGTTTTACTTTTTCGACTTCTTCTTGAAAACTACAAGCCTAAATGCTTTGATACTTGGTGTATATGTACCTTGGGTAGACCTCTCTTAGGTTTGTTCATTTCATGTTGATATCTTTAATTCTCTAATTTTGGTGAATATTTTTGTCATTTTTGGTAAAAACTGATATTTTCGACTTCTTGTTAAAAACCGCAAGTGCAATTGCTTTGATATTACATATATAGGTACTACATGTGGACCTCTCTCAGATTTGTTCATTTCATGATGATATCTTCAATTCTCTAATTTTGGTGAATATTTTTGTCATTTTTGGTAAAAACTGATATTTTCGACTTCTTGTTAAAAACCGCAAGTGCAATTGCTTTGATATTACATATATAGGTACTACATGTGGACCTCTCTCAGATTTGTTCATTTTGTAATGATATCTTTAATTCTCTATTTTTGGTGAATATTTTTGTCATTTTTTGGTGAAAAGTGATATTTTCGACTTCTTGTTAAAAACCGCAAGTCCAATTGCTTTGATACTACATATATAGGTACTACATGTGGACCTCTCTCAGATTTGTTTATTTCGTGATGATATCTTCAATTCTCTAATTTTGGTGAATATTTTTGTCATTTTTGGTAAAAA